ATAACTCAAATAACGGCTCATCTCAAGCAAGCCATACAGGAGAGCATTTGCAGCCTAAAACTGCACCGGGTGCAATTCTATGAGCTAAGAACAGTAAATGGAGGCTAGAATTTATGGGCTCACCAAAATTGAACAACAGAAGATTGGAAAAATGCTGCCTGGTCTAATGACTTTTGATTTCTGCTCCAAGATTTGTTGGTTTGTAGCATAAACAACATGAAAACATGGACCCATCCTGACTTGCATGATGCAGTTGAGGCTGCTACTGGTAGTGATGATGCACCCTTGGTTGCTGACCATGTCCATCCCTATGTGACCACAGTGCGATCGGCATGGTTGCCTCCCACGGGATACTGCACAATGTCGCAAAGCTCAGATGATCTCAAACTGGTTACTGGTTGAACATAACAGTGAGGGAGATCATGGCTCTGCAGCTGAGACATCTGAAGCTATTGTGTCATGCTATCATGTCAGTATGTATTAAATGTCTTTTTGAATCTATTACAATATAATATAATCATATAATCAAGAGACATACGTGTAATGTTTCTCTGGACTAATGTTTCTGTCCAACTGAGTGAGCATAACCCTGATAGCCAATCTCCTTTATCTCCTAATTCACCGTCTTCCAGCACACGTAGAAACGATGGCTTTACAGTATTTAGTAATTATACTTGTCTGGCTCATGTTTGGTATTTGGGCAGGTGGAACACAATAGATTTGATTGGGGTTGAAAACAGCTGCCTGCGTCACGTAGCGAGTAAGCCATTGAACAAACACGGTGTTTTGTGAGTCATAAAACCAAAATAATGAGCTGATAAGATCCTGAAATATTCCATAGAGCTGAGGGGACCTTTCACTTGCAGCAGTAATCATTTGGTATCAGTATTGATTAGTGCGCCTTTAAGCACAGTATCTGGCTGCAATGTGTGTAATGTGTTTATTGTCACCTTCAGTGTCACTAACCTCTGTTGCACACTGCTCCTTCTTCTTCTTCATCTGATCATACTGCTCAGCAAACAGTGTTTTTATTTCAGACGTCATTTTTTCCTTCAGCTCCTGCACCCGCTCTGTCTTCCCTTTGGACTCAGGGGTGTTGTCACCTCCCCTGGTGGAAAAATAACATGACAAAGTAAATCAGTATGTGCGGGCAATACAGTTTATTGACTAACAGCCACTGCCCTTCATAGCTGACGACCATGAGCTTCCAGAAAATACTATACAAAATGCTTATTTGGCCTTTAGTAACACTTGGTTTGCTCTGACAGCTCAGTGACAAACACTGCAGACCTCACACTCATTTTCTTCATCCTCATCTTAATAGTCAGTGTCAGCTAGAAACGCACATTAGCTGTAGCTGTACTTCTCATGTTTCTAAATATAGTCTTATTAATCCAAAAACAGCAACATTATTAGTGAGTCACTATTAATTTGTGGAGATTTGAGCGCTGCTTTCAAACAGGACTGTCTCCTTCCAGCGGGATAATCAAAAGCTCTTTTGTCAAGCACCCTAGCTAAAATATATAGCTGCAAATTCACTCTGGAAAGCTCTTTGAAAACAAATTTGGGAAGAAAAACATCCCCTTACTCTTTTTTCTTCACTGAAACCTTCTTCTTGAGGGCCTTGAAAGAGTCGGAGTATTTCTGAATCAGATCCTCGCCTTTTTTCTGATACTTCTTTTCTAATTCTTTTATGTCTTTCTCCTGACGCTTGATGACCTTCTGATAGCTCTTGTGCTGTGTCAGTTCTTCAGTACTCACAGTCGAAGGCTCTGCAGCACAAACACAAAGGGGATTATTTTTTGTGGAGTCTTCTTACTTTTCAGCACTGGATATGCAATTATAATGAATCTATTCAACAAAAAATAACTCTAAATTGTTCTGTATTATCCTTGTCAGAGCGCTTTTATCCAGAGTGTATTGACAAAAAGAAAACTATGATGAGTGCAGCACATGACGTGCTGCAGTGTTACCTTCACTGCCTGTCTGCGGCTGAGATGAGTCACCTGATCCTGCAGACTCGGTGGTTGTAACTGTTGGAGAGGGAACGGCCGCAGCAGAAGGCGCTTCAGCAGGTTCTGCTGCTGCACTGGCTTCCTCTTTTTTATCAGATGTAGGTTCGGGGTTTGTGCAAGACTCGGTGCTCGGTTCTTCTTTGGCTTCAGGAGCCGCTTCAGGCTCCGGGCTTGCTTTGGTCTCCTCGGGTGAAGGAGAGGCTTCAGGAAGGGTTTCAGATGTGGAGCTTCCTGTGTCTGGTGCTGCATCGGCTGGGTCTTTATCGAGAGTTTGAGGGGTCTCTGCCTTGCTTTCTTCCTCCTTTTTAGCTTCTTCTGCACCAGCTGCTGGTGGAGACTGGTCAGTGGCGTCAGCGGGCGGTGTAGGTTCGGATGCAGCTTTTTCTAGAGGAGGAAGTGATTAAATGCACCTTCAAATACACCAGCATTGAGACCAATTGTTTGAGCCACAGACAAGCTCAAAATCTTTGCAATGCAAGATCTGAAGTGTCACCCTCTAAAGCTTCATTACCTGCAGCAGGGGCTTCGTTTTCTTTAGCTTGATCTGCGGGAGGTTGGGCTCCAAGAGGCAACTCATAGGGAGACACATAGTCAGAAGATGACTGCGGGGGTAAAAGAAGAAAAGGACAGGAACATAACAATCTAGCAAGTGGTCATATTCCAGGAACTCAATTAGTGTTGTTAGGATTTACTGGAAATCCAAAGGTATTGCTGATGATGTTTTTTCTCTCTTTTTTTTTTACCTGTTTGGGAGGCTTTGTGGTCTTCTCTGTGCCTTTTGTTGGATTAAATAAGGCATCTGTGAAATCTGCAAAACAAACCATTTAAATGAGTGTACAATGATTTATTCTTAAACCAAACATAAGTGTGGGTACGAAGACAAAGAAGAAAACAAAAATGTTTCCAAACTAGATTAGTCTTCTCTTCTCTAACTGTCACTCTGGCAACAAGGATTCACTCGCAGCAGAGGTTTTCTTCTTTTGCAAAAACACAAAGTAAAAGGCTAAGCACCCGCAAAGGCAGCAGGGATGTAGTCCTTGACCTCAATGTACACAAAGAGAGCAGGCAGAGTGAGGGGCATGTTGCTCTCACTGCGCAGGCAGATGTGGTGGAAGCCTGCAGGGCATGAAAATAAAACCTTGGTGAAATAAAAGCAAGGCAGCAGCTTGCCTGATGCAGAAGCTGGTTAAAACAAGCTGGCAAATGTTCTGAGGCCTAGAGTGATTCATTGCTTTAATTATGTATATTATATGAAGTATGAATTCAAATATTCTTAGCTTCGCTGACCTGACTGGATGGCATCAAGAGGGATGATTCTGTGTCCCACGAATTTGCCATTCTCTTCGTGGACAACGATTCTTAAAGATGCCAATTCTGGCAGCAAGATCTAACCATGTAAACAACAACAAATATGTTAGTGACACATCATTTCATTCATTTATTCATCAAGGAGCCAGACTTTCTTGTAATATTTTAAAGTGGTCTTGGGTATGATTTCTCCAGGCTTTCTGAATTTATTTCAACATTTTTCTTTGGACACTGGCTGCTTTTTAACTCCTTTTCAGTCCTGTCCTTGGACCTGGGCATTTTCAGAGGAATGCTTTTGTGTGTATATGTGTGTTTGTTAAGATGCTTAACACTGATGTATAAACCATTCAAGCATAATACAGGTATCTAACTCGAGGTGTGAGAAGGATGGAGGAGGTCAGGAGAGAGGTGCAACATCTGGTAAGCATCTAAATGGCAATGGCTTCATTTTTTTTTAGCAGGACAATGACCCCACACACACAATAAAACACTATCAGTCTTGAAACTTCTTCCCTAGAGCCCGGACTTCCACGCTACTAAAGCAGTGTGGGGTCGTCTTAACAGATATCGGAACAAAAGGCAGGCAGCATCCAAAGAAGAGCTTTGAATGTCCTTCAAGGAGCCTGAAGAACTATTCCTGTCAAAGAGAGTTCAGGCTGTGTCGAAGAAAAATGGTGCTCATACCAAATACTGACTTTCAAGCTCATTAGAATTGTACAAGCTCTGTTTTTGCCTTCACATCAAAATATGAAGACTGAGGAGTGGCTGAAAATGTTTACATGGTATTTTATTCACCTTCTCAAAAACAAATGGCTCTTCATTCCACACTGGATTAATGGCGTTGGGTGTCGTGGACCACTTGGTGCGATATTTCTTCTTAGGGTCTCCTGGCAGCCCAATCACTTCCACCTCAACCCCTGTTTTTACATTCTTGTCAGCCAGAAACTGCCCCGAATAGATCTATGGAGAGAAGTAGATATGATTGGACGACTTATATATACAAGTCTGGACTTTTGAACAGCTGGACTCCTATATGAAGCAAATTATGTTTTTATTAAGATATTACACAAGGACAACATGGACAAACTTCCCAAAGCCAAAATAGCCATCTGTTATACACATACTGCACTAATTCTTCATGAGTTTCTCTGCAGTGAAATGCCAGAAATGATGCAGAAATGATGAAAAGATGGAGCTTGAAACTCAATTACTCTGACATTTGGCTTCCACAGATAATAGGAGCCCACACTGATGGTTAAAGAAAGAGACACTCTGTAATAACAGGGTCGTGAACCTGCCTTGATGGTCAGTGTGCTCGCCACAACGGTGTCAATCCTGTCACAGAAAGGGTCAAACTTCTTGTCATTGCGACGCATCACATCGTGCTTGAGGAGGTAGCCCGTTCGGCCATTGAATTCAAACAGGGCCATGTTGAGCTGCATGGGGAAATCTGTAAGTGAGACACAAACAGCCCGTTCACGCCACTTGTCTTCAGCTTAAAGGGAGGCAGCAAACAGAGGCCTGTGCAGCACAAAAAGGTGCAACACTGACCTGCTGTGGCGAATAAACAGAATAGATTTTAAATTACTAAAACACACAGTGTCATCAGTGTGTCAGAAAACTATATTTAAACAGGAACAGTAGACGGTTCCAAACATTCACAAAGGGTATTAAGTATATTTCTGAGCATTTTAAAGTGTGATATCTCCATTTTTACCCATCGTCTGGTAGTTGAGCGCCACCATCTGGCAACCAACGTTCCAAAAAGGTTGGGGATTGTAGTTGGAGGAGTCCATTCTTGTTCCTTTGGGGTAAATCCTGCTCATCTGCCTCTTATTATATCTTAGGTAGACAGTTTAGGAATCATTTATTTATATTTC